GACTTTCATTTTTACTCATGGATTGATTTAGTTAATGGATCCATCATCCATCCATCTAGGGTTTACTTGCTTCTATTTCTTCTTCAACGGAAAATCAAAAGATTTTTTATTTAATTCATCATGGATGCAAAGTCAATTGTATTTGAATGAATGAAAACCTCTGTCCAAGTTGATTTCCATCCAATTGTTGCTCAATTTTCTTTTTCAAAATTGTACTCTCGTTATGACTTTCTCTAATTTGAATTATTCTATGTGTAGATAGATGGGGGGATATCAATTGATAGGCACTTCACAGAAGCTTTGATTGAGACATCACCAGCCTTCATTTGCACTACCTTTTCAAAGCTCCGTCAATGGCATACTTCAACCTCTCTTTCCTCGCCCTTCTCCTCCTCCTCCTGCCCCCACTCGCTCTCCTTCTCATCCTCTACCTCATAGTCCGGCCCCGCCCTGTCAAGATCCCAATCAAGAACCGCCACGTGTTCATCACCGGAGGTTCCAGCGGAATCGGGCTGGCATTGGCCCATCACGCCGCCTCCGAGGGTGCCCGAGTCTCCATCCTCGCCCGCTCCATCGACAAGCTCGAGGAAGCAAAGAACTACATCCAACTCTCCACAGGCATTGACGTGTCGATCTTCTCTGCTGACGTTCGTGACTACGATGCGGTATCAAAAGCGGTGGAGGAGGCAGGCCCCATTGATGTGCTGATTGTCAACCAAGGGGTCTTCGTCCCTGAAGAACTCGAGAAGCAGGGATTGGATGAGGTGAAGTTCATGGTGGACGTAAATCTGATTGGCAGCTTCAACATGATCAAAGCTGCTTTGCCCAAAATGAAGAAAGGAGATGGTATGCCCCGTTCGATTGCTCTCATGTCTTCCCAAGCTGGTCAAGTTGGTATCTACGGCTACACAGCTTACTCTGCGAGCAAGTTTGGGCTTCGTGGGTTGGCCGAAGCTCTGCAACAAGAGGTGATATCTCATGATATTCATGTTTCTCTTATATTCCCTCCGGACACAGACACCCCTGGTCTCACTGAAGGTAAAATGTGAATAAAGTTGTTTACTTTCCATGTGAGATTTGCTTGATTTGATTGAATTGGATTTGATTTTTCATCCACTCTGATTTTGATATTCACTTCTTTTTGTAGAGACGAAAAAACGGCCGCAACTGACTAGCATTATAGCAGAGTCGTCAGGGGTGATGAAAGCTGAAGAAGTAGCAAAGAAGGCTTTTGGGGGGATCAAGTCTGCTGCTTTTATTGTGCCTTGTAACCTTGAAGGGGCGTTGCTGTCTATTGCCACTGCTGGGATGTCTCCTCAGAGATCGTTTGTTATGGCATTTGTTGAAGTGGTTGCTGCTGGTTTGGTTCGTCTTGTTGCTCTGTTTTTCCAGTGGAATTGGTATAATGGTATACACACGTGGCATGCACAGAACAAAAGTGAGTATTGTTTCGTATCAGCAGTTGAAATGATCTGTTTTTCAGTGTTCAGTTTCATGTTACTGCACATGTTTAAAAAATCTTTGTTGTTATTATGTTGACTTCATCGAAACTGCGGGGTTTGATGATTGGTGCTGCTGGTTATATATTTTCTTGTATTTCAGATGTTAGATGTTTCATGCGTCTAAGTTAATCATAATGCTTAGTGTTTCACAAACTTCGCATTACAAGACAAGCTATATGTTAGAGAGAGATTAATATCATTTCCTTGATGGTTCTGGTTTCATGTTTCTGATATGGACCAAGTATAACAAAGACAAATAGATGCACCAGTTAGAAAGAGTGATGTAAGCAACATAGATGCCAGTGGTTGGGGGGCAGCGGAAGACTAAAATTAACATGGTGGAAAATCACAGATAGTTGAAAGATGTAATTCTGTATGACTTATGAAAATATAGTCGACGATTTGATGGAACAGAGAACTGAGATTCATGTAGCTGACCTCAAATGGTTGGGAACTTGGGACTTGTCACTGTTAGATGGCAGGAGATCAAAGTGAAATTTACCTGCATGCATCTTCTATTTTTGTCATAGAATATTGAAATTCTAGTACTGGTTTCCCATTGTATCTAGAGCCCCCTTTTCGTCCAATGTAAAGTAACAGTCTGAAAATGTGATCTTTTCTCCTGTGTTAATTTCCTTGCATTATTTT